AATAATCATTCAATCATACAATATTATACAAAAAAATATGTATATTTATTTCATTCTACATATCAAAGACAATTACACAATATAAACTTTATTTATTATAAAATTCAATACATATGTAAAAAAAAAAACGTGATCACAAGAAAATTCGTCAACCGAAAATCACTTTCAGCATTTTACTGAAGAACCTTCTTGTAGTCCTTTAGGCTTAAGACCACAAGAAATTTCACCAATAACATATCGAAAGACCCAAAAACAGTTCAAATGCAGGAAAACCCAAAGAGCACACCAGTGAAATGCCAAAAGATAAGAATAAAATTAGAAAACCCGGGAGACTAAAGAAAATTAGTAAGCTGGAAGGACAGAAAAAAAAATCAACACAATTAAGATTATCAAAAAAGCTGGAAGACCAGAGAAGATCACAAGAAATTTCACCAAAAATCGTCGAAAGACAAAGAAAATTAATTAATTAGTAAAATCCAGAAAAACAGAAAATAAACCAACAACACAATTAAATTACAAGAAGCTGAAATATTGGAGGAGACCACAAGAAATTTCACCAGAAATCGCCGAAAGGCCTAAAGACATAAAATTAATTAGCAAAATCCGGATAAACAGAAAAAAAAACCAACAACATAATTAAACCTACCAGAAAAGCTGGGAGACTACAAGAAATTTCACCAAAAATCGTCGAAAAACCTAAAGACAGAAAATTAATTAGTAAAATCTGAAAGAACAGAAAAAAACTAATTAAAATTAGCAGAAAACTGGAATACTAAGAGAGATCACAAGAAATTTCACCAGAAATGCTGAAAGACCTAAAGACAAAGAAAATTAATTAATAAAATCCGGATAAACAGAAAAAAACCAACAACATAATTAAACCTACTAGAAAAGCTGGGAGACCACAAGAAATTTCATCAAAAAACCTAAAGACAGAAAATTAGTAAAATCCGGATAAACAGAAAAAAAACCAACAACATAATTAAACCTACTAGAAAAGCCAGGAGACCACAAGAAATTTCATCAAAAATCGTCGAAAAACCTAAAGACAGAAAATTAATTAGTAAAATCCGAAAGAACAGAAAAAAAACCAATTAAAATTAGCAGAAAACCAGAATACTAAGAGAGACTATAAGAAATTTTACCAGAAATGCTGAAAGACCTAAAGACAAAGAAAATTAATTAGTAAAATCCGGATAAACAGAAAAAAAACAACAACATAATTAAACCTACCAGAAAAGCCAGAAGACCACAAGAAATTTCACTGAAAAACCTAAAGACAGAAAATTAATTAGTAAAATCTGGATAAACAGAAAAAAAACCAACAACATAATTAAACCTATCAGAAAAGCCAGGAGATCACAAGAAATTTCACCAAAAATCGTTGAAAAACCTAAAGACAGAAAATTAATTAGTAAAATCCAGAAGAACTCCAACAATACAATTAAAATTAGCAGAAAACCGGAATACCAAGAGAGACCACAAGAAATTTCGCCAGAAATGACGAATGACCTAAAGAAAAGGAAATTAATTAGTAAAATCCGGATAAACATAAAAAAAAACCAACAACATAATTAAACATACCAGAAAAGCCGAAAAACCAGGGGAGACCACAAGAAATTTCACCAAAAATCGTCAAAAAACCTAAAGACAGAAAATTAATTAGTAAAATCCGAAAAAACAGAAAAAACTCCCAACAACACAATTAAAATTAACAGAAAGCCGGAATACTAGGGGAGACCACAAGAAATTTCATCAGAAATCGCTGAATGACCTAAAGACAAAGAAAATTAATTAGTAAAATCCGGAAAACTAGAAAAAAACTAACACAACTAAAATTACCAAAAAAGCCAGAGACCACAAGAAATTTCACTAAAAATTGTCGAAAACCAGAAGACAGAAAATTAATTAGTAAAATCCAGAAGAACAGAAAAAACCCCCCAACAACACAATTAAACTTACCAGAAAGCCGGAATACTAGGGAAGACCACAAGAAATTTCACCAGAAATCATCGAAAGACCTGAAGACAATGAAAATTAGTAAAATCCAGAAGTACAGGAAAAAAAACAAACAATAAAATTGTCGGAAAGCCAGAAGACCAGGGAAGACTACAAGAAATTTCAGCAGAAATCACTGAAAACCCTAAAGACAATGAACTTCCTTCATAATAATAAAAATTTTTAAATACTTCATTTCATAGATCAGCACCACAAGTCTCTTCTGTCATTCAAACAAACTCGCTGCCACATTTGCAAGAATTTCATGAGAACAGAAAAAAAAGCCAACACAATTAAAATTACCAAAAAAGTAAAAGACTACAAGAAATTTCACCAGAACTCACTGAAAGGCCTAAAGACAGAAAATTAATTAGTAAAATCTGAAAGAACAGAAAAAAAACAATTAAAATTACTAATAAGCTGGAAGACTAGAGGAGACCACAAGAAGTTTCACCAGAAAATCATTGAAACATATAATTAAAATTGGAAGACGGAGAGAGAGACTAGGGAGGGAGACCACAAGAAATTTCACCAGAAAATTGTCGAAAGACCTGAAAATAAAGAAATTCATTAGTATAATGCCAAAAGAAAGAAAAAAAACAACAATAAACCAAAAAAAAATTAAAAATGCTAAAATCAGAAAACCCAATTTAATAAACTTTGTATTTAAGAAAAGAATTTTGTTTAAACAAAGACTTTGTGGTTAGCGTTAGATGTTACTTTAACTTTTCAAAGATCTACATTTCTAGAATTTTTTATTAGATTCTCGAAGATCCATACATCGTTAATTTCTATTTTTAGATTTTTATAATGGTTTTAGTTTTTTGCGTCTCACCAATTTTCTTATTATGTAATATGTACTTGTGACTTATAGTAAATCTTTTCTTTAAATACATATTTATTGAAAAATAAAATAAATAAAAAAATTTTAAAAATGTAAAAATGGTCCCTTTTCATACAAGACACCTCATATGTTTATTAATTGTATTTACTAAATGTCAAGACTATCATCTTAGGTTTCCTTCAACCTTTTTATACTTAAAATTAATTTGAAATAATTAATAATAGTGTTATATAGAAATGGAAATGTAATATCACATTGGGTGTTTTAAAAAGTAACACAAATATAGTTTAAAAATTTTTAATGTAATTACTTCTATTATCTAATAAAGTTTCTACTTTGGCATAACAAAAAAAAAATTTTTTATATTATAAAAAAATAATATAAGGAAACTGGAAGTATTATAATAAAAAGAGATATTATGATGAATTTGCAATATCTTACAATTCAGTGATTCAAATTCTCAATTTGAACCACTGGGTCACAAGATAAAAAAAGTTGAATTACTATTATAATGAACTGGGTATTATGACAAACTATTGATTATGTACTGTATTAAGATATGTGTTTAAGTACTATAAAGAACAACTAATATTGCATGTAATAGACTTTATTTAATTTTAACAACAACTATTTAATTAACATAATACAAATTTTCTTACACATTTTAATCTTTTAATTCATAATATGAATTTTTATTTTTTTTCTTCTTCTCAAGTGTATTTTATTATGACTGAAACATTAAATTTAAATCTGTTATCAATATTTATTTGCATATTTAATAAAAGAGATACATTTATTTAAACTATTACATATTAATAGAAGTGTATATATTATATTCTATTATATTACTATGATACTTCTAAAGAATTGTATAATAAAATACTAATATGCTATCAGTTTCTTATATTAATTAACAAAATGCTATTCAAACAGTATTTAATAATTTAAATAATTGCTCTTCTAACACTAAATGCTCAAGTATTAATCATGTTGCAAAAAGCTATAGGCTTTCAGAAACTACTTTATGATATGCTATAAAAAATGATGGCTTTCTTAATCATTCAGGCCTACCAACTATACTTACTAAGCATGAAGAGAATTAACTTGCAGGTTATAGTATTAATATACGAAGGTTCAGGTTTGGTCTGACAAGATCTGAAGTTAATTATTGTATAATAGAGATCTTAAGACTAAACAAGTGATTATATCTTTTTGGAGATAGTAGATCAGGTAAAGATTAGTAGGCACATTTCATGAAGAATTATTCTGAACTATTATTTTGTACATCCAAGAATTATTAGAGACATATTCCCAAAGCGCCAATGTGACTATCATAAAGAATTACTTTAAAAAACTTAATAAAGTTATTAATAAAAATTTACTTATTACTACACAGATTTGGAATATAAATAAAACTGGTTTTGTCCTTATTCCTAAATCTGAAAAAGTTGTTGCACAAAAATGTGTATGTCAAGTTTATAAGGTAGTACATAGAAATACCCATGAATATATTTCTGTGGTGTCAACTATTTTGGTTACTGGATTATACATACTACCTTTATTTTCTATAAAGATGTTTGTACAATCTTTGGTCTATTAGAAAATGTACTTTCTGGAATAGTTATCCCTTAGATTGTAAGCTTTTGCAGTCAAATTTGCCTGCATAATTGTATTTTTTTAGCTCTGATTTATTTTTTTAAAATGTTAAAGTATCTAAATAAAATTTGGTATAATAATATTTGAAAATACAAATTACTTTTTTGCATTATTTATTTTTAAATTATAAAAAAAAAAAGTAGGCTACTTATAGACCAAAAATGTTGTAATTTTAAAAAAATTTTTAATAAAATATTTTTTTAGTTTATCTATAATAAACTTTTTAAATATTAATTTTAAATCTATAGTTTTTAATACAACTTTTTAGTTTA